CTTGCAACAAATGGAGGCCATCTTCGAAATATGCTGAATGGGTGAACATAACATCATTTCATGCAGTTGTAAAGTGCAGAAATCGAATTTACGTCCCCGAAAACATTTATTGACACAAAACACAACTACTTAATCAAAATCAGCACATCATCCCCGCCACAAATGACAGCCATATTAGAAATATGCTAAATCTGAATGTGTGATCAATATAAATAGTTGTAAATGGCAGAAATGGAATCTGCGCCCCGAAAACATATATACTGACACCAAAGAAGACTGAAATGAAATGGGGTTTTAACGTCCTACTGTGCTGCTCCTCTACTGGGCTAATGAAGACGGGCATACGCCATACAGTTTGCTATGAGGGAAATTTTGCCCAGGCAGCGGCACTATTGCCTACTCTTATATCGAATTCCAACTGCCAAGGGATCTTTTACGTGCATTCTAATGTTTACACGAGACCTCGATAGACAGCTGACTAGACAGCTGTCCTTCTCAGGCCCTCCGTCCTGCATCACTGACAAGGGGAAACCACATCGGAAAATCTGGATGAACTTTCTCGCCCAATGCAGGGATCTAACACCCGACCTCCAGGCTAGCGAGCCAGCGCCTTAACCACCTAGCCACTGTGGCTCTCCCAAAGAAGACTACACATGTACTTAATCAATATCTGCACATCATCCCATCTTGGAAATATGCAAAATAGGTGAGCATGTGATCATTTTTATACTCCCACATTTTCATGTGGACGTATATTGTCGTCGCCCCTGTCCGTATTCAATTGTTTGTGAACACTCTACAGGTCACAATTTTTATCCGATTTCAATGAAACTTGAAATATAGGTTTATCACCCTTCATGGATTATGGCACCGGATGGTACGAAAAATCACGTTTTTAGCTTGTGAACACTGTTGAGATCAATTTTTATCCGATTTGGTTTTAACTTGAAATGTTTGTTTATAATTCGGTTTCTTTCAATATTCGCGCATATCGGACCAAAACTTCCTGAATTATGCCCTTGATTACACGAAAAAAGTCACGTTTTTAGCTTGTTGTTCTCCAGAGATCACAATTTTTATCCGATTTAAAAAAACGATTGAATATATCACCTTTTCACCCTACTGATGATTGACTTCAAATTGGGTGAAAATCGGACCGAAACTGCTGGACAAATTGGCCGCCGCTCATTTGCAGAGTATTAAAAGGTTGTAGGCCCTCTAGAGGCCACGATTTTGATGGAACTTGAAACATATCTTTATGTCCCAAAGATCTTGGTTCCTTTCGCTATTTGCACATATCAGATTGTAACTTCCTGGATTATGGCCCCTAATTGTATGACTACTTGTTAGGCCCTCTGTCCTGCATCACTGACAAGGGGGAACCACGCCTAAAAATCTGGATGAACTTTCTCGGCAAATGCAGGGATCGAACACCCGACCTCCAGGCTAGCGAGCCAGCGTCTTACCCACTTAACCACCGTGATCCCCCACTTGGTAGTGAAACTGTACACTAAGTTTCATCCCTCTCCATTAGTTAGAATCAAAGTTATCTTGTCCCAAAGCATCGAACAATGAAATTGCTTAGCTTCAGTAGGAAATGTTAATCACTGAACTCAGTCAAGACATTCACCTAATGAACATCTATACTTCAATTAAAAGCAGAGTTGTTATGTTGCAAATTCTTGACCACTCAAATTGCTTATCACTACTAGTACTTAGCCTAATCAGAAAATTCTCATCATCGAACTTTAGTCAAGGTATTGATATAATGAATCTATAATCCAATTAGAACCAAAGTTGTTGTGTTCCACGGTCTCGACCAATCAAATTGCTTAGCCTAGTGGAAAATGCGCATGATCGAACTCTGTAAAGGCATTCACCTAACAGACATCTACACAGACATGTAAACTGAAAAAACTTGAAAAAATACCGGAAAGTACCGAAAATACACAGAAAAACCTTTTTTAATACTAATTATCCCGAAAACATCTGAAAAACCTTAAACACCGAAAATCACTAAATACTGAAAACATTAATTACAGAAAAAAAACCTAGGCCACACAGGATGCGGGTCAGTTCATCTCACAACCGTTTCACCCCTTGCTGTTTCATCCCAACCTGATTTTTTATCGGTCTGTTTCATCCCCCTTGTTATTTTAAAGCAGTCAATTACCTGAGTTGTACTTATCATTAAATAAACTGTCAAACACTTACTTATTGTTAAATAAACAATAATGTATGGAATAAATAAGTTTTACTCGTCGATTTTTGTTGATTACCGATCACGGCCGAGATTAGTTCACCGCTGTATATTCGTATTGTTTATTCGTATTGTTAGTTAATTTCCGTTATGATTTTAGATTAGTTCACCGATGGTTTTGTAATAAAGTATACTGTATTGTTTGTTAGTTTATGATGTCTAACATCAATAAACTATAACACATACTTATGGAAGAACAATTACTGATTTATTTGGGCGACGTTTCGAAGAGTATTCTCTCAACGTTTTCAAGTTGAGAGAATACTCTTCGAAACGTCGCCCAAATAAATCAGTAATTGTTCTTCCATAAGTATGTGTTATAGTTTATTGCTCTATCCAGTTACTAAATGCCTCTAAAAGATCATGTCCAACATCATTTATCTTCTTTATAAAAAGGTGTTTTATAATTACATATTGACAGCTGAATCACTCGCCAAAAATACATCATGGACTCTACGTATTACCAAATAATCAACTAAATTGTGCAGGAGCCCCTTCTAAATAAGACAAATTAGACTGATATTATTTCGAAACCATAATTAATTTTAAAACTGATCGTTGATTTAATTTCCGTACACGAAATGAAAATAAACATCTCCAAATATAGGAAATCCAAATAAGAATTCATTTAGAATACCAAAATGCGAATCGTAACACATTGTGGTCTAAACTGTGTGATAAGTTATAAAATAAATCGTAAAACAATGGAACCTGTTGTAAGGTGGACACTGCATGCTTTCTTTTAATGTTGGGTTATTTGAGACGCCAGGTAATCTGAAAATCTAAAGATAACAGTGTCGAAATAGTGGCTACGTGCAATTTTATCCTTTGATCTGTTCTATCACTGGAAATCCTGTTATAGTGAACCCAACATGCATGCAAATGACTATACAGTGTATTACAAGTTGAATGTTTTGCTATGAGCATCGCTCGATTGTAAGCAATGTAATTTTAGTGAAATTGGTGTTGAGAATTGGTGTGAATTCAGAAAATAAACTAAAGCGTCTACAAAGAAAGAAGTTGGGATACAATTCATATTAAAATTGCATTGACATCGTATAAATAAAATATTCGGAAAATAAGCTAAGGCGTATGCAAAAGAAGGAGTTGGACACTATTCATGATAAAATTGCATTGACATATTGTTATTTGTATTAATGTATAAAGAAAATAATAAAAATTCATGTAATACCGGTTTTTAAATTTGTGGGATGAAACGACCCGATATAAGAGGAATGAAAGGACCCGTGTATATTTGGGATGAAACAGCCCGAGATAAACCGGTAGTGGGATGAAACGACCTGCTCCCGGCCACACATACAAATTGTTAGGTGGGTCATGACTCATGGGTCAAGCAAGGCCACGCATAAAAATTGTGGGGAACTCTAGGTCACGCATGAAAATGGTTGACACTCTATAGTTTGTTACATATTTCCCATCCGTCAGCTTTTCGGGTACAATTCGTGGAATAAGTTTTATTTTGAAGGTTTTGATGTTTGATGACAAAAAACCAATGTTGACATTTTTTCTGAGTATGTCTTCAATACTCTTCATAGTATGGAAGGTCATTATTTGAGGGTAGCCATTTTGCGATAATATTCCAACTTATTTTTTATTTTCACCTTAAATATAATGTAATCGACATATCAACTGTGATTTGGCAATTTTTGGCGGGAAAATCGGACAATGAACTGATTTTGATTAAATAGTAGTGTTTGGTGTCAATATATATGGTTTCAGGGGCACAGAATTCATTTCTACTAGTTACAACGGTGTAGTGTAAAATGACCACTCCTCTTGCAGTGCCACGGCCAATTCTTGCAGTGTTGTCGGTTGACGTTGGCGGTCTCCTGATCATGTCCCAGACATGCTCTATAGGGGAAAGGTCAGAACTCATGGCTGGCCAAGGCATATGGACAATATGGTGATGCTGGAGGTAGTCATTCTAGACACGAGTGCGGTGGGCACAGGCATTATCATCTTGAAAGATGTAACGTCGGCCTGCACATTGAGCAAAGGGCAAAACTATTGGTGCCAGGATGTGGTCCCCATAGTACACACCAGTGACCCTTCCTTGAACAATATGCAAGTCTGTTTTGCCAGTCATGGTGAATCCTCCCCACGCCCGAATCTGTCATGCTGTCTGACATTAATGTCAGCATGAACCTCATTTACACGCCTCCAAACGCAAGCACGCCTATCGGTGAAATCCAGAGTAAATTTGGACTCCTCTGAGAACATTACCATTGCCCATCGACGATTACCCCTATTTCTACGCTGCCTACACCATTGACGCCTGTTTGCCATGTGCTGGCGAGTTAATGGAGGCACAATACGCAAATGGGCTGCATGTAGCCGATTTCTAATCGTTTGGGGTGCACATAAAAGATCCCTTGACAGTTGAAATTCGATATAAGAGTAGGCCGTAGTGTCGCTGTCCGGGCAAAATTTCCCTCATAGCACACTGTATGGCGTATGCCCTTCTTCATTAGCCCAGTTCGGAGCAGAACAGTAGGACGTCAAACACCATTTCATTTCATTTCACTACCAGGTACTTCAAAACCGTGACTGAGTTTGATCATGAACATTTTCTGCTTAGACTAAGTATAGATAATTAGTTTGATTGCTTGATACTTTGGAAAGAGATAAATTTGCAATTCATTAATTATATGTGTCATCTATTTATTTTTGGATTTCGGCGGTGGACATCAGCCTCACTGTTGGTTTGTTTATATTGCAGGCAACTGAGAATTTTGCATGGAATGTTCGTGTATTGAAGGGACAAGCTGATTTAGTGTTACAGTCTAAGAAAGATTGTAATGAATATGTAAGACAGGTATGTTAAATTGCAGCCTAATATTATAATTATATATTATTTCTACTTCTAGGTTCAAAGTCAAACAAAAGTTTTATAAAGTTTACAAATGGACCAATAAAATATACTAATAGAAATGGTGTTTTTATTCGCCCACATTTTCATCTGAACGTATATTGTCGTCGCCCCTGTTTGTCCGTCCGTCCACAATTGTTTATGAACACTCTACAGGTCACAATTTTTATTTGATTTCAATGAAACTTGAAATATAGGTTTATCACCCTAAGATCTTGGTTCCTTTTGATATGGTCATGTATCGAACTGTAACTTCATGGATTATGGCCCCTGATGGTACGAAAAATCACTGTAGAGGTCACAATTTTTATCCGATTTGGTTTAAACTTGAAATGTATGTTTATAACCCACAGATCCGAGCTCGGTTCCTTTCGATATTCGCGCATATCGGACCATAACTTCCTTAATTATGGCCCCTGATTGTACGAAAAATCACGTTTTTAGCTTGTGGGCCCCATAGAGGTCAAAATTGTTATCCGATTGAAAAAAGTGTGTGAATATATCACCGTTGCACCCTAAGAATGGATGAGTTCGAATTTCGTAAAAATCGGACCAAAACTGACAGACAAAATGGCTGCCCCTCGTTTGCAAATAGTGTCAAAATATTGCGTATCAGAGTTGTGGACCCTCTGGAGGTCACAATTTTCATCTGATTTTGATGAAACTTGAAATGCATGTTTATAACTTCGGACCATAACTTCCTGAATTATGGCACCTGATTGTATGAAAAATTGCGTTTTTAGCTTGTGGACCCCATAGAGGTCACAATTTTTATCCGATTTACAAAACCGTTTGAATATATCACCGTTACACCCTTAGGATGGTTGAGTTCGAATTTAGTAAAGATAGGTTGCCAGGCAACGAAACAGCTATATCGTCCGAGCAGTAAACAAGAGTTGTCGCATATTTTTACTTTTTACGGTAATGAAACATTTATAATACATTAAAATCTGATTAAGAGTAACAACTCATTAAGTAATTATCAGAAAACCATTAGAATTTGTTTGGTTTTTATAAAGTTCTTCCCCATGCGAACGTTTAGTATATGAAACTTTTAACATCATGGATTTAGCTGTTCAAGTCATAAAGATTCATTGAAAATCAAAAAACTTGTTCGTCTCAAGACCTTAAACTCTGTGTATCAATTTGAAGTCAATCGGATGATAACTTTAGCCTCTAGAGCGTCCACATAATTTTTCAAAGCGATCAAGGACAATAACTCTGGCAGTATTTATCGGAAATCGCTGAAAATCAATAGGCTTCTTCGTCTCATGACCTTAAACACTGTGTATAAATTTAAAGTCAATCAGATATTAACTTTAGCCTCTAGAGAGCCCACAAGATTTTTCAAAGTGATCAAGGGCCATAACTCTGGCAGTCATTATCGAAAATCGTTGAAAATCAATAGGCTTCTTCGTCTCATGACCTTAAATACTGTGTATAAATTTAAAGTCAATCGGATATTAACTTTGACCTCTAGAGCGTCCACAAGATTTTTTGAAGTGATCAAGGGCCATAACTCAGGCAGTAATTATCGAAAATCGTTGAAAATCAATGGGCTTCTTCGTCTCATGACCTTGAACACTGTGTATAAATTTAAAGTCAATCGGATATTAACTTTAGCCTATAGAGTGTCCACAAGCAATTGTGGATGCCGGATGGACGGACGGGGGCGACAACAATATACGACCCCATTTCAATGTGGGCGTATAAAAATCGGACCGAAACTGACTGACAAAATGTCCGTCCCTTGTTTGCAAATAGTGTCAAAATATTGTGTATCAGGGTAGTGGATCCTCTGGAGGTCATGATTTTCATCTGATTTTGATGAAATTTGAAATGCATGTGTATAACCCAAATATCTTGGTTCCTTTCTATTTTCGTGCATATCAAATCGTAACATCCTGAATTATCGCCCCTGATTGTACGTAAAATCGCGTTTTTAGCTTGTGGTCCCTCTAGAGGTCACAATTATTATCCGATTTAAAAATTTGTTTGAATATATCACCGTTACCCCGTAATTTTGTCTGAGGTTGAGTTTCAAGAAAATCGGATCAAAATTGCCAGACAAAATGGCCGCCCCTCGTACCCAAATAGTATAAACATCTGGTAGTGGTATATCAAAGTTGTGGACCCTCTAGAGGCCACTATTTTGATCCAATTTTGATGAAACTTGAAATGCAAGTTTATAACCCAAAGATATTGGTTTCTTTCAATATTCGTGCATATCGAATTGTAACTTCCTGAATTATGGCCTCTGATTGTAAGAAAAATCGTGTTTTTAGCTTTTGGTCCCTCTAGAGGTCACAATTATTATTCGATTAAAAAAAAGTTCAAATATATCACCGTTAAACCGTAAGGTTTGTTGACTTCGAATTTCAACTCAAATAGTGTAAACATCTGGTAAATCAAGGTTGTGGACCCTCTACATTTTGTAGATGTCACAATTTTTTCCGATTTTGATGAAAGTTGAAATACATGTTTATAACCCAAAGATCTTGGTTCCTTTCGATATTCGCACGTATCGGATTGTATCTTCCTGAATTATGGCCCTTGAATGTACGAAAAATCACGTTGTGGTCTATGTAGAGGTCACAATTTTATCTGATTTAAAAAAAAACTTGTGAATATATCACCATTATACACTAAGATCTTGGTTCCTTAAGTTCCTTTTGATAATCGCGTATATACGAACGTAACTTCCTGGATTATGGCTCCTGATTGTTCGAAAAATTGCATTTTTAGCATGCGGACTCTCTAGAGGTCACATTTATTTTTTGATTTTAAAAACCGTTTAAATATATCACCATTCCAAAAATCGAAATGAAACTTATCTTTATATCCGAAAGATCTCGGTCCCTTTTGATATTTGCGCATTTCAGACCATAACGTTCTGGATTATTGCCCCTGATTGTACAAAAAATCCTGTTTGTTTTTAGCTTGTTCTCTATCCATCTCTTGCAAAATGTGGGCATATCCTGCATGGCAGCCGCTGGTTCTCAAACACTGTAGACGATCTATCTAAATAAAGCTATATAATTGTTTTTTTATTTTATTTTTTTTTTTTTTATTTATTATGGTAGATTAAAGAAGCTGCTGTGTCTACAGGTTTATCGAAACAACCAGAGCCTGATTTGTGTAATAACCATCAGAATCTTCAACAAGTATAAAACATACAGTTAAATACTCTTATAACTTACAAGCCATTACATGTTTTATCTTTACATCACTCACTGAAAATACTGTATTTAAAAACCAAGCTATGGATACTCATGTTTGCCATAATTCATACAGAATTAAAGTCAATTATTCAACTCGGTGTGAAGATTTTCTTGTTGGGAAATAATGAATAAACATGCTCAAAGTAATTGTTGTTAATCAGTCATGTGAACCAGAAATATAGAAACAAAACAAATGGAATTTCCAACTGCACTTTGTGAAATAAAAGAGCAATATTTGTGAATGTGAAATCAACGTATAATGAGTCATGTAGTCAGTTTAATGTATACAAGACACAATGTTTATCATTAATTATAATTTATAATAACATTATTGTACATGAACTTACTGCCTTAATTAATTAATATTACTCTTGTTACTGTAATTAGTAGAATCATTGTTCTATATATTGACTATGGTAATTGTAGTAATATGACAGAGTTGTTTGTTTGTCTTACAATAATCAACATGATAACAAAAGAAAGATGTTTATTAAGAAGAGAATGAATTGTTGAATTGTATAAAAAATACTGTTTTAATGTTTTATTAATTTTTTGAAGTATATGTGAAACTGTTGAACTAAGTTATGTGTTTTTTGTTAATTATGTGTCAGAACTACTTCTGTGATATTAATATACTTTATTATTACTAAATCTTGTTTTCTGTACAAAATAGATATTTTGGTTATTTTTAATTAACACAGATATTTAAAGATACATTATGGGAGATTAGATAAAGAGCTATAATAGTTAAAAACTAGATAATGTAAAGGGAATTTGCTTTAAATTTTAGTCGAATTGATCCACTCTGAACCGAGAATTTAGTGATTGAATTTTGGGCCTAGCCTCGATCATCATTACTAAAGTCTTTTTGATAAAATAACATAGGCTCGATTATCCATTTTTTGATTTAATCATCAATGAGCGTTCAGCAGCAGATCGGATTATAATCCAGTAAATATTGCAGGCTAGCGATGACATCGAGAGTTGACTATGGTCTGGATAAGTTAATTAATGTCTAATTAATAATTTAGATAACATTTCAGGCCTAAAGAAATTGACAGATTTAGCTCTTCATAATGTATGTTTAAGGTTATGTATTAAGAAAATGACTATTAAAACCTAACCCACTTTAAATTGGATTTTTAAACAGTTGACTGGTTAAAACCTTCTCCAAAACTTTAAACCAGATATCAGTCCACTTATTAAAACCTTCTCCAAAACTTTAAACCTTATACCAGACCACACTTCTCCGAAACTTTAAACCATATACCAGACCACTCTTCTCCAAATTTAAACCCTACATCAGTCCACTGGTCCTTAACTCCAATACATACAGTTTGCTGGGTAAAAACCGCCTGGTCTTCCATCCAAAATTAAACCTTTATAATGGACTACATGCTTTCCTAAAGCCTTTAATGCTCATATCGGTTCAAGATGGGTTCCCAGAAAAGTATTTATTGGGTGGTTATTTCCAATAAAAGTATGGCAATTTTGGTATATATGGAAAGTAGAGATATCCAATCTTACTAGAAAAATACTGGATTCCCCGAAAAGCACTCATGGAGCTTATACAGGACAAAAATGTAAGGGTTCCCCTAATCGTCAGCCCGACGATTAGGAATTTCTGCACGCGTGATGTCAAAGGTCACACGCGAACATTGAGTGCTTGATGTACAAGTTGATTAACTTTATGAAGAGTTAGACGTACAACACTTTCTGAGATAAAAAAGACGCGGGCAGTGGATAATCCGATAATTTAATTAGGATTCGATATTTGTAATAAATAGTAAGCGATTAAAGACAACATCGTCTTATGTATGCAATGAATTCTCCTCTGACTTCCAAGAGAGGTAAGTCACGTGACATAAACATGACCTGGTTTGATCAAATTTTTATAGCAGGGCATTCCTTCGCAATTACAATGTTTGAGAAGGATTTGAACCAAATTATGACAAATTAATTAGTTTGAATATGTTTTTAGTCCATATATACCATTAAATCACCCAGTTTGCACGCTGGAATGTATCTTTAATATAATAAAATAATTGAATGCAGTAATAATATAATAGCCAAGTTAGGGTATATGATTCGATAGATAAATATTTTCTATTAATTATATACCGGTACAAGAGTTTATCTAATCATTAGAAATAGCTTTAAGTACATATCGGCAACATTTCTAGTCCATGAAAAGATGTCACAAGAATCACTACCCGATTTTAGTGTTTGGTTGAAAACATATTTTTGAAATGGATGAATTAAATGTATAAATAATATTGCATTAAAACTTAGATGTTGTTCGAGTCTGAAAGAGCCAAAGATGTAGCTATCTCAAGGAATTCAAATTCTATTGATGATTTATTTTAAGAGTAGATTCTGTATGATATTGAAAAATTAAAAAATTTATTATCCATATCGGTCAATGCTACTACTGAAATGATTTATTCACAGTGTGGCAACCCTAATACGGTACATTTATTTAAATTATATCCAAAACATAGTTGATAATTCATGCCAGCAGGTCCTTTAATTATCAAGTGCAATGAAGAAATATATCAGTTGATTACTTGGAGTTTGGACTATCATTCACATAAACTTTGTCCAAGATATCTTTGATTTTATTGTTGTAAGTGAAGTGTGTGCATGAAAAAATATCAAATCCAACATTTCTTCTTAATATGTAGGGCAGATTTATTTTGAGAACATTATTTCCTATATACATGTATCTCTGGAAGGTTTTAAGCATCAAATATCTCTAGTACACGTATATTGTTTCAGAGGAACATGAATGACGTTCTTTCTAAAAAAAATTAAATACCCAATCTCCAATAAGCTCAAACTTTGTAAAATTCGTTAAAATCAATGAAATGGGGTTTAACGTCTTATTTTTCTGCACCGACTGGGCTAATGAAGATAGTGTTAAAATATAAGTTAGATATTACTACATATATGCACTGTAGCAACCATTTGGATAATAGACTAAAACCTGCCTTAAATATGAATCATGAAATCTGTGACACAAAATTATGTGCATCCTAGCTCTTTCAACACCCTTAATATAGTGTGTACATGAAAGTAATGCTATATACTCATGTACATGTATGTACAGAATAGGAACCCTGTAATACCCTGTCTCATAGTGCCTATGTATTGCTAGGATTGTGGCATAATCAGACCAACATGGTACATATTTATGATATTTTATTCCGTTTCTTGATATTCTTACACAATTTGAATCCAACAGTCACAAAATATAATATATAGTTGCACAAACCTCTATAAACCTAGACTATTTAATATGTATGGTTTTTGTGTAGTTTCTATAATGTCTAATTAAGAAAGCTCAAAACACTTTTATAGTTATTAATAATTTATCCTAATATCTGTTGAGTTCCATATTACTTTTAAATTGTTTCCAGTAATTTTCATCTTATGTTTTTTATTTGTTTACTTTTAAAAATTTATAGCTGTATTCTCCAACAACCATACATTGTATATGATTACCTTTTAACACCAGTACTTCTGGTATGATGTTAAAAAATATCTTAAACGAATTGATATACTAGTTATCACATAGTTAATCTGTTTTTAATTATATAATTTATACGCAAGTTCCAGTTTATATTATTTACATTTGTTATGCTATAAAATATGTTTGCTTTTGCTAACCATAGATAGTTTGGTCACAATTCACCTTGTTTTTACTTTATAAATGCGACAAAAAAAAGATCGATTTAAGTGAACGGTTCACTTTTTGTGTGATTTGATCTTTTCTAATCGTTCAGGGTTCTTGTTAATTGGTTTCATTTTAATTGCTGAAAACATCACATATTATTTGTAATACCAAAAGTCAAGATGTCTAAGTCAGTTTGTATCTGTAATTGATGATGGCTTAAATTTTTGTCCCCCGCCTTTCAAAGAAAGCCGGAGACTATTAAAATGGGTTTGTCTGTCACATTTATTGCGACACAATAACTCTCCTTTTAATTGAGCTAGATGTTTTATTAGGTCAATGCCTTGATGGAGTTTGAAGATGAGAATTTTCTGCTTAGGGTAAGAAGAGATAAACAATTTGATTGGTTGATGCTTTGGGACACGATAACTTTAGTTCTAATTAAGTGAGAGTGAGGACACTTGGTGTATAGTTTTATTAGGTCAATGCCTTGATGGAGTTTGAAGATGAGAATTTTCTGCTTAGGGTAAGAAGAGATAAACAATTTGATTTGTTGATGCTTTGGGACACGATAACTTTAGTTCTAATTAAGTGAGAGTGAGGACACTTGGTGTATATTTTTATCACATCAGTACCTTGACTAAGTTCGATAATGAGTATTTCTGCTCGGGGTAAGCAGAGCGATAAGCAGTTTGATTGGTCGAGACTTTGGAACACTCTCCTTCTAATTAAGGTAGAATGTTCAAATTTGGTCTAGGCGTTCATTAGGTGAATTTGATTGATGGAGTTAGATGATAACCATTGTCTGCTTACGGTAAGCAGAGATAAGCAATCTGATTGGTTGATGCTTAGGGGCACGAGAGTGATGAAACTCTTGAGTATAGATTCATTACAATGTATATCATTACCTTGACTAAGTTTAGAATGTTTAAACTTGATGTAGAAGTTCATTAGGTGAATATCTTGACTGAGTTCAATGATTAACATTTCAAGCTAAAGCTAAGCAGAGCTAAGAAATTTCATTAGTCGATGCTTTGGCAAGATAACTTTGATTCTATCTGATAGAGAGTGATGAAACTTAGTGTATAGTTGATAATCAGTTCGATTGCTTGATACTTTTGAAAAAAATAAATGTGCGATTAATTAATGTGTCATCTATTTATTTTGGGATTTCGGCAGGGGACATCAGCCTCACTATTGGCTTGTTTAAAATAAAAACAGGAATATCTGCGAAACAGAAAAATTATGCCTTGTGGACTGCGCATGCGATTTAGCTGCTGTGGGTGTATGTTTTGTTGCCTGGCAACTGATCTTTTTATGAAGCGAATGACTTTTAAGGATGTCCATTACAGCTTATTTATGTACATTTCAGCATATTCCTTATTTTTGATGGATATTTTAAGTTAGATATTATATGTAAACATTTTTTGGAAAGCTAACTGTGACTGGTGTATGATGTTCATTTTTAACATGTGTTAATTAGATTAAATAATTTGTTTCTTTTAGTGAAAGAATGTGTATGACTTGGATTTTTTTCCTTTTTTTGTAAGAAAATTAACTACAAAAAATTAATCTGGGTTCTAGTGCAATATCAGACTGTTTGTTTTAATATTAAACTGGACATGACGAATAAAATATTAATACAAAGATACTATTTTTTTCTTGAGTCATATGTAAAGGTTGCTGTTCCATAGGACACTTTGTATAAAAGTGAGTTTAAATATATGCAAATGTGAATAATTACCTCATCTAAAAGTTTCGAATCAAAATATGGTGTCATTAAGGGAAGTTACTTAAAGATACATTATGGGAGATTCGGTAACGAGTTGGCAGTTCTCACTATAATAGTTAAAACTAGATAAGGTAGAACGCATTTTGGTGAAAATTTCATTCAAATTGATCCACTATGAACCGAGAACTAAGCGACTGAAATTCCCATAAGCCTCGTTCATCATTACTAAAGTCAGTACGATAAACAGCATAGTCTCGATTATCCATTTAATCGTTTAATGAGAAGGAAAGTTATGCAGTAAATCGGCTTACAATCCACTAAAGATCACAGGCTAGCGCAGCCATCTAGAGTTGATTATGGCCTGGATAGGTTAATTAATGTCTAAAGAAAGACCTGGAATAGGCAGATTTAGCTCTTGCATAATATATGTTTAAGTAATGTAAATTGTAGAAGGCGTAAATTGTATCGGCTCTGCCTTCAACTACGTTACTGTCAGCTGCTAATGACAACTAGTATGAAATTAAGTCTTTTCCCCATCGCGGTTCTAAGGCTATTTTGGAACCCTTACCGTCTATTTTTCACTGTGATTCTTCTTTGGTCGCTAAAAGGAACCATTTCTTACCACATCCGACACAAATTTATGAAAATCCAACTCTATTTTCATGTAGAATTGTGCGATACAAAAACATAAACAGTTACTTAAAGATACATTATGGGAGATTCGGTAACGAGTTGGCAGTTCTCACTGTAATAGTTAAAAACTAGATAAGGTAGAACGCATTTTGGTGAAAATTTCATTCAAATTGATCCACTATGAACCGAGAACTAAGCGACTGAAATTCCCATAAGCCTCGTTCATCATTACTAAAGTCAGTACGATAAACAGCATAGTCTCGATTATCCATTTAATCGTTTAATGAGAAGGAAAGTTATGCAGTAAATCGGCTTACAATCCACTAAAGATCACAGGCTAGCGCAGCCATCTAGAGTTGATTATGGCCTGGATAGGTTAATTAATGTCTAATTAATAATTTAGAAACCATTTCAGGCCTAAAGAAAGACCTGAAATAGGCAGATTAGCTCTTGCATAATATATGTTTAAGTAACGTAAATTGTAGAAGGCGTAAATTGTATCGGCTCTGCCTTCTACTACGTTACTGTCAGCTGCTAATGACAACTAGTATGAAAATAAGTCTTTTCCCCATCGCGGTTCTAAGGCTATTTTGGAACCCTTACCGTCTATTTTTCACTGTGATTCTTCTTTGGTCGCTAAAAGGAACCATTTCTTACCACATCCGACACAAATTTATGAAAATCCAACTCTATTTTCATGTAGAATTGTGCGATACAAAAACATAAACAACTTTCATTTGAATTGGGCCACCATTTTCAAACTAACGCTCAGCCAATAATCCAAACTTAGGAAGGAAATTTTACCGTAAACGAAAATTCGTGCTGTACATGGTCACTAAAGGTTTTTTTTATTCAACATACATGAATAATTATTACATAAAATCTTTAAAATAGAACAACATATTATATTGACCTTTATAAAATATTTTAAATATTCTATGTGTTATTCTCATGTACAGCGAGATTTTTCGTTTACGGTAAAATTCCATTCCTAAATTTGGATTATTGGCTGAGCGTCAGTTTGAACATGGCGGCCCAATTCAAATGAAAGTTGTTTATGTTTTTGTATCGCGTAATTCTACATGAAAATGGTGTTGGATTTTAATATTTTTATAAATTGGTGTTGGATGTGACAAGAAATGATTCCTTTTGGCAACCAAAGAAGAATCACAGTGAAAAATAGACGGCAAGGGTTCCAAAATATCCTTAGAACCGGGATGGGGAAAAGACTTATTTTCATACATGTACTAGTTCATTTTCATTAGCAGCTGACAGTAACGTAGTAGAAGGCAGAGCCGATACAATTTACGCCTTCTACAATTTACGTTACTAAAGTAACCAATTTAAGGGGGGCGCCCTTATGTCGACGGTGCAACTGTATACAACTGAAAAGGGTCGACCTGAACACCTCTTACAACTCAAAGCAACTAGTTGAACTTGCGGCATTCTTTCTTACAACTGGTGTCGATCATACAGCAACCGAGAACAACTGATAAACAAAATGGTGAATAACTTAAGACGAAGCCCAAATGGAGGCAGACCACCATTAATTTCCCCATTGACTTCAATGTTAATTCTAGCCTCTTTGCCCACCTCCAACTTTTCCCCAAATTTTCGTTGGGCTGAATGCTTTTCACTACAGAGAAACAAACGGTCATGTCTTTGCACTAAAATTTGTATGAAGTTGACCACCAAACTTTTGAGATACACAAACTTGAAGAAGCCGAGATCAAGTCAGCCCTCACTACCTCATCCTTCACTAAGAATACTTACCTTTGTCCTTTCACTATAAACTGCGAATCAAAATGGCCCTCAGTACGAAATTCGCTGGATGACCACGACTTCAGTGAAATCACGTGCTCAGTATGGGCTAATCCAAGCCTTCGATAAATAAAATGAATTGAAAGTAGTCTATTTTTAGTAACCCATTTCTTTGCTCAAAATAAAAATGCTTTTATCTCTTTTAAAGTATGTAACCACGAAGGTGCCAGAAAATAACAAATAGATTTAAAGAGCCATATAATGGGCAATTCCACAGTGAAGTGAACATTTGTTCTATCAATATGCTGTGGATATTATTATACAGACTCATCAATGTAGGCTATCTTAATATATTTATTAAACATGCATTATGCAAGAGCAAAATCTGCTTATTAAAAGTCTTTCTTTAGGCCTGAAATGTTATCTAAATTATCAATTAGACATTAATTAACTTATCCAGACCACAATAAACTCTCGATGTCAAGGCTAGCCTTCGATGTTGGCTGGATTAGATTCCTATATGCCGCTAACGGCCGTTGATAATTAAATCAGAAAAAGTGGATAATCGAGACTAAACTGTTTATATTAATGATTTTAGTAATGATGACCGAGACTATGCAAAAATTTCACCCGCTTCTTTCTCGGCTCAGAGTGGATCAATTTGACTGAAATTTTCAGCAAATTACCTTTACACTATCTAGTTTTTAACTATTATAGCGAGAACTACCATCTCTCTTTATCTTATCTCCCATAATGTATCTTTAAGTAAAAACAATCTTGCGACCCAGCTTGGTCCAACATGCTTACAGCTCCCCGTTTTCGTACAAGAACCCGTGCAATACTTTGTAAGGCAGAACTATAGTCTGTTTCAATATTCGATATTGTATTAATAGTCATTATCATATAAGTGTTACTTCTGAACTCATTTATGCAACATCTCCCTTCTTAAAGGATATAGTAACGAAAACTTAAATTTTGACCATAATTACTATAGTGTCTATATCTTCAAGTGTCCTATAACTGAAACATAATATACTCAGCCAAATTAAAAACTTGACACTCGGGATTTTTGGGACTAGATTTTTAATATTTGGTTTAAGCATGGACCTTATAGTAACAAAATCTTAAATTCTGACCATAATTACTATAGTGTCTATATCTTCAAGTGTCCTATAACTGAAACATAATATACTCAGCCAAATTAAAAACTTGACACTCTGGATTTTTGGGACTAGATTTTTAATATTTGGTTTAAGCATGGACCTTATATATTATAAGGTCCATGGTTTAAGGCAACTATTTTATATAGCGTCTAAATAAGTAAGTTTTTATTCTTGATTTGAATATATCTAGTGATGAGGAACTTATGATATCTTCGGGTAGTTCATTCCACAAAGCAGCTGATGTATAACCAAACGATCGCGCACCAAATGTTTTTAAATTGATGTCAGGTTTATATAAACGTGATTGCTTTGAAGATCTTAGCATTCTGTTCGGCACATATTGTACTGTGAGATCTTGAATGTAGTCTGGAGAGGTTTTGTGGACTGATTGGTAGGTGAGCGACAGAATTTTATAATCAATCCTTTCACGAACTTGTAGCCAATGCAACGATTTCAATACTGGAGTAATGTGTTCTCGCGGTTTAGTTCTGGTCACAATTCTGGCTGCTCTGTTCTGTAATTTTTGTAATTTGGATAACTGCTCCAATGACACACCAGTTAGTAAGCTGTTGCAGTAATCTAATCGTGACATTACCAAAGATCTGATTAAAATTGCTGCGGATTCATTTGTCAGAAAATGACGAATTGCACCTATGTTTCTCAAGTGAAAATTGCAGATTGAGCATAAATAACTAATGTGTTTCTCCATAGTTAGTCCAGAATCCAGGAAGACACCAAGATTCTTCACAGTATCAGAAAAATATATGGTGGACTGGCCGATGTTAACATCTGCGTGGCTCTTTTTTAGTCTTTGCGTTGGAGCTACTAACAAGGCTTCAGTTTTTGAATCGTTTAACTTAAGCATGTTTGAGGACATCCAAGTTTTGACTGCATCAATACAAGATTCCATGTTCAGACATACAGACTTTTGGTATTGAAGATCGGTATGGAAACTATCAATAAGTTGAGTGTCATCTGCATAGGCGTGGTAATCAACATGCTCCTCGCGAATAACCTTGCCTAGTGATCGTGTGTACATGGTGAAAAGAATGGGTCCCAAAACAGATCCCTGGGGGACACCACACGAAATAAATAAACTACCAGAATTCACCTTGTTTATTTCTACGCATTGTTTCCTATCAGTCAGATATGATGAGAACCATTTCAAGACACTATTGTCTAAACCGTATTCCAGTTGCAGCCGATCAAGCAGTATTCTGTGGTCTATGGTATCGAATGCTGCAGACAGATCTAGAAGCACTAGCAAACCGATATTTCCAGCATCGACAGACATCTTTGTGTTATCAAGAACACAAATTAGGGCGGTTTCAGTGCTGTGGGCTTCTCTATAAGCTGACTGAT